CAGGAAACACATCACACATCATCAGACATAAACATATTATTTGTGAATATATATTGCCCCGATACTTTAAATGATTTTCAATGATTGTCTTATGAATTGTCTGTGTAAGTCTGCGTTTCCTCTGTTAATAGAGAAAGGAAGGGAGGGAAGCAGATGGTCAAAAAGTCATGTGGTGGTCACGTATAGATTGAATCACGTTATCACTGTTCCTTAGGTCTGTTGTTTTGCAAGCCTGAGGGTGTGATTAAATTACTGTCCTTTTCCTGTTGAATGTAATAGTTCATTCATTTATGGTCACAAGACATCGTGGTTTCTATATGTTGTGAACGAACTTTCCAGTCCTGAGACAAAGAAAGCTTTGTTGTCTCCTGATTGAATTAGTTTAGATCTCATGACGAGTTGATTCAGTGGCATATCAGAGAGTGTCCGTTCATGATAGAAATCCCTACAACATGTACATACACTCATTGTATCATTTACACTTCAGGCTTTCCACCAGGACCTTCAGTACGTTCCAAACCAAGCCCAGATTAAAACCAGAGCCGAGTCTGCGGACAACACAATCTAAATTTATCCTGCTTTCTCCCTACACACTCCTCAACCCCAACACCTCATCACAAACACACATGGCACCCATCACAAACACACACACACACACACACACACACACACACACACACACACCTTGTTCTCACATGGAGGAACACAATCCTGTATGAGGAAACTTGTAGGGCTGTTACATGGGGAATGGCCTTATTTCAGAAACCTGCCTTTTTAAGCATGGGAAGTGCAGATTACTGTTGGGTGGTCCTTCACTCAAGGGTGTCTGATTGTTGTCCAATGGGTAACTTAACTACTGTGGTCAGTTAAACAGTAACACCGGTAACAAAAACGTGAATATTTGCCAACAAACTGTGCTCGTCCAGTAAATTCTGCCTCTGGCTCACCACATCTACAAATACGATGGCTAAAAATTATTTGTACTGAATTATAATGTTTTAATCATGTAAATTATAATAAAATTTAAATATAAAATTAACAACCTCTATAAATAACAAATATAAAAAATAAATAATTATGTATAAATTATATATATATAATAAAAATAAAATAATAATAACAATAATAATTATTATTATTAAATAAAAAAATATTTTAGAATAAAAAAATGTTTTAAAATTTTGTAGTAAACACAAATGTAAAATTCACAATTTATTCATTAGTCAAAACAACCCACTCCCAAGTGTCCATGCTATTTTGGTGCCTAAATATCTATCTGCAGTAAGGTTAATTATGACGCTGACATATCTGCTCAATGACATCATGAGGATTTTTAAAATAACCTAGTGTAGTATGTTTTGTCAAGCATTTCCAAATACAAACGTCTTTTCATTCTTTTAGATACTGTACATTCCTTCTAATTTCTCTAACAGCAAACCCTTTTCATCTAATGAAAATAAAGTGAAAGATCAACTCCAGACTTCAAATAGACGTCTCCTTTCCTCTTTATGGAGCTCTGCCCCATAACAAAGATCAGCACTGGGGTTTTTACGGCCGATTGCCTAACAAAGCATGATTGAGAGCAGGCCGACCTCAGCAGGACTCCACCTGCATGTCAGGTCTTTCACCTGGAACCTTGCACTGTTATTGTTTCAGCGCTTGACCTGATCTGATTCAGAAAGCTGAGTGAATCTCACGAAGCCTGTCAAAAACATGCCTGGGACATATTTAATCCAATGGGGGAAAAAAAAAATTTTTTGAATAAAGAAAATGCAATTTTAGACTTTTTAGTGGTTTTATTACTATAAAGATTTTTTCAAATGTAATTCTTATTACCATAACACAGAAAAAAAAACCTTGTGGATTTGCAGGGTCTTTAGCTTACCTTAAAAACAAACATTTCTCCCCTAAGCATGGTGACTGTGTCAAAATTGCCCTCACAGATGTTGGGGCCGTAGTGTTCTGGGCGATCGGTACTGCGAGGCCTGTCCGGCCGGCGAGGGGGCACTCCGGGAGGGTTCTTCGGAGGATGGGGTGCCCTGGGGTCTGGATGGGCTGGTCGCTGGGGGGTCACAGTGGGGAGAGCCTGAGTGGGAGAACTGCTAGGGGGTCCTGCAAGAAACCAACAAATACAAATTACTTACAGAATTTGTAAAAAAATAATAGGATAGCATTGTGGCAACCTCTTAGTTCAGTCTATGATAAATATAATATGGAGAACTCAATTTTATGCGAATTTTACAAAACATCAAGAACACGTCCAGGTCACATTTCATCCCATAAAATATATTTTAATTAAAATAAATGAAGCATATTTGCTGACCATAATAATAATTTGTGACATTATTTCCTCTTACAGTTGTCATAAATAGTAATATTTATTCATACCATTTTTAAACAACACGGTAGTATTTGTTGTACTGTCTTATTACAAAAAATATTACAGTCATTAGTTCATGCAATGCATAATGATAATATAGAGACACACCACTTGAGAATTAAAGGGGGAAAAAAAACAAAAAGTAACCATTACGATAATGAGAATTTGGGGAAAAATTGTCACGAAAACAAATGTCACAAAACGTTAAATCCTATTGGTCCAAAAACTAGGCTTAATTTTCTGCATGCAAAATAGAAAATATTTTCTTCTACTTTTAATGTATGAGCAATAAGTGATGCTGGCCTTCGCAAACTCCAAAAATAAATGAAATGATTAATGAATTTGCCATGACATAACCAAAATAACGTTCTTCTAGCCACAGCTGAATCTCCCTCATGCAAAACTAAAACAAACATTTCTAAAGTCCACAAAGACCAGAGTATTTCAAAGAAACATGGCCTGGTCAAATGCAAAGTAAACCAACTTAATGCAAAAAAACTAATATTAGAAACCTTACACCATACGCTTGAACCACACTTAAACTACTTACTGTAAACAAACCAAAAAAAAAAAACTTTTACAACACCATGTTGGTCACAAAACTTAATCTAAAGCTGTAAATCTATAAAGTGCCTATAAACATTTTCTGCACTTCTTCCTCAAAGGAGAACAACAGATAACAGGATCCGGAAATGAAATGCATCAGACCTGAAAAAATGTTGCACATTGTCTCAATGCACTGACCGCTATGCCATAACGTCAACTAAACACTTGTTCTGTTTTAAACTGCACACTTGATGAGTATGGAAGATAATAAATAAATAAATACATTTGCAATTCAGACCTTTTCCCTTACAATTCTGAGTTTATATCTCACAATTTAGACATATTCCCCCCTCACAATTCTGACTTGCACAAAATCATATAAACTCCTAAACACACAATTGAGAGAAAAAAAAAAGGCTTGTTTCCACCATAGGAATAACAAAGGAAATTCAAATTTTTTCTCTCACAAATTCCAACTTTTTTTAATTTCTCATAATTTAGACTTTTTTTTTCCTCAGAATTCCAAGGTTATAAAACATTTAAAGAGGTAATTGCAACTTTCTCACAGTTCTGACTTTTTTCTTTCAATTCTGATAACAATTTTGAGGGAAATTGTCAAAGTCGCAATTACCTCTTTTTTATTTTTTATTCCTTGGTGGAAAAAAGCTTTTTTTCTATTTGAGTTTATGAGTGAGAATTGCAAGAAAATAAGTATTGAATTTGTGATATATATATAAAATTGCAATTCTGAGAAAAACTTTTATTCTCAGAAATGATAGTTTATATCTTGCAGATTTTCAAGAAAAAATTGTGGGATAAAAAGTCGCAATTACTTATATATATATATATATATATATTATTATTTTTTTTTAATTCCGTGATGGAAATCTGTTTCCATGCCATGTTTAAGACATCACAGGTGTCAGGTTACCGTAAATCTGCTGGACCCCACGGAGATCATCCTCAGGCAGCTCAAAGTTTTCAGTGTCCATCCACTGGTAGAAAGGAGCCATAATAGCCAAAGGATTATTGGAGTGTTCCAGTCCAAGGGCGTGGCCCAGCTCATGTACGGCTACCAGGAACAGATCATTACCTACGGGGAGACACATATTAAATATCACAGGCTGTGGTATAAGAGAGAT